CCTATAAAACAGAAAATAAAAAGAGATTTAACACTATAATACAAGTGATCAGATGGAATTAGTTTTAGGATTCTTTATGGAATTATAAAGTCTGTATTTTAAGAAAGCCAAACCTTTCCATGGTTTACATCAAGTGCACGTGCAATGTTTCCCGCTGCAGCTCCCCCCTGCAAGATTAAAAAAAAAAAAATTGATTTGGTTATATGACTGATTAATTAAGGATTCTTATACAAAATGTAATGCCAAGATCTCTTTTTCTTTGTTAATCAGAAACACAAAGTTTGCACAATGAGATCTTTCCCTTGCCTGCAGCACAATCCCTTTACAAAGAACCAGGAAGAGACATTCAGGGTTAGAGTTTACCCATATGCTGTGTTTCTAATTTTAGCCCCATATAGAAAGGGGTTTGTTTTCAGGTGCTATTTCTGTTTACATCCTTGGCATAAATTAAGACAAAGAGTATTTATTTGGAATGAGCTAATAATAAACATACAAGCAGGACAGAAATACTGGCTAATGTGAAAAGTGACATTGACTAGATTAACCAAATTCAACATATGTAAATCCTAATGGATACTTACATACACATATTCACATGCATAAAACTGAACAAAAAAATATACATATTATAGTCTTTTCTTGTTGGAATAATTCTAGCAGATTTTTCCTGTAAGTTTACTCAACGAAGATAAAGAATTGCTAACCCATGCAAGATGTCAATAGCTGGACATGTACGTAAGCCTTAAGTTTTCATACTGCCTATTGAATGCTCATTTACTGAGAGGTGGGGTTTTTTTTTGGTTACGAAACAACACAAGCTACTCAAGATGCAAACAGCACACATGCACTTACTTTTGTCTTTTGTGATGCATACAGTGGTACCACTCGAGACAGAAGAGACCAGAGGGCAGGATTACCAGGGTTACTGGGAAAAGAACAAGGATATTAGACTTTCTGGTTTAGATACGAACCTGGTCTTCCACGACTTGGTAGGCAGTTGCTATAAACCCCAAATAGATCTTCTTCTACTAAAAAAACACCACAACGTGGTTGAAAATAGACGTGGGTAGTAATTTAAGACAACACAATACTGAACTTGTACTGCTGGCTAAAGAAATAAAATGTACACTATGCGTATCAATATTCATGGGAAGGAAACAAATAGATTCTAGGACTATACGTCGTGTCCTTACAGTGTGAAGAACAAGGAATTTTAATTGCAGTTGGTGAAAAACAATTTGCATAAAGAATCGCTCCCGAAAACACTTGCAGAGATTGTGAGGTATGTCTTGCTTAAACGCATTGATTGAAGTTCCCCCTTTCTAGAATGCTAAGGCTAATCAAAACACATTTAGACATAGATGTTTAGCTAACAGAATGGACAGGCTCAGAGGCTGTTAAATATTAAATAAATGCCCTAGAGACTTCTCTAGGTTGAAGGTTCTTCTACATATGATGAAAAATGCTTTCACAAGATGCTGAACTGATCTAGCTACCGAAGAAGCCACCAAAACAAAACCAGAAAACCCCAAACAAGCCATGAAACTTCTGTCATTTGATCCCACAGACCAGAAAGCAAGCTTCTGTCAGCCGATACTACAACCTTAGGTGAGGACTTCATGTATGAAAAACAATTTTATTTTTATTTTTTTTATTTTTTTTTTTTAAAGAAGAATGCTGCAAGTGAACAGAGGTTTACTTACTATTCAATGAAATTAAAGCAAAGCATTTACAAGGCAATCCAAAGAAAGGCAAAATACATACCTGTGTACTGCTCTGGAGACTTCTCTCTGGACACCCACAGTCCTACCTTGCAATGCATAAACAGCAGATACAATAAGGCACCTCTCATAAATCCCATCGTTCCCCTTTTCATGCTTCAGTAATTCTTTCAGGGCTGCTGTTGCAAGCGTAGCATCCTGCTTTACCAATCCCAGTGTGCACAAAGCCTTCAGACTTTCTGTACTAGGCTCCTTTAGTGAGCTGTTGAATCAGAGAGAGGGAAGGAGTCACTGTTTTGGAGCGCAAATTACACTTATTGTTAACATTACAGTACTTGTTATTTCTGAGTCCTCTTGCTCCTATGCATCATGTATGCACACAGAATTAACAGCCTCTTGCTGTGGGATCATGGATCACACTAGATCAGCATCCTTGAGGTCTCAGGGTATGGAAAACAGCAGTGGTTATGTGCCATTTCAGCACTCAAGCTTGTAATGTATAACTACTGGGCAAGACTCTGACACATTAATTGTCCTTCAGCAGCAGCCATAAAATGAATGGTAAGAGAGAACACCTAACACTGACAACTATTTTCTTTTCTTGAAGACATTCGTACTGCTAACTAGTATCAAACCTGAGTTGTATTTTGCCTATTTACAGCTTTGCAATAGAAACCCAGGAAGTAAAAAGCCAGAAATGAGCCTGCTGCATAGAACTGCTCTGAGAACAGGGATGTTCTGAGAAATTACGCCTTGTTTACGTCAAGATTTATTTCAAGGTATGGTAGTTTGAGCATGCTTTCCACCATCTATTAGTTTTAGTACCACTGTCAGTTGCACTGTCCCATTCATTTCACCATGAGAGGCAGTTTAACCTCATATCAACAGTACTGCAAGCTTTACTGGAGATCTACTACATACAGTTACTCTTAAACATAAATTTGCATAGCCAGCACTATGTTATCTGGTGCAACGGCGCTATGCTTTGGCAAGTAAAAAGTGGGATTCTGTCCTATTAGCTATAAAGATATACTCATTGCTAAAAAACTCTGTGCCAACGTGGCCATGAGAAAAGAAGAAAGGCATCTTCTTGTTCAAGGTCCTACTCAGGACCTTTAAGACATTTAGCACGAATTCCTGTCAGTAAAGACATCTGTCTATTGAACTAGAATGCACCATTTTTGTTCTTATTACTAAAATTCACCGTATACCTCTGTAGCACTGCGCTTCCAATTCAGATCCAGACATATTCATTGTAGTGTTACTTTCCTAAACCATTTATTATTTTTTTTGTTCTTTAAACACAAACAGCTAAGGTCATCTAGAAAACTCTCATTGTTGATGTTTATGGCAAAACCAGAAGTCTGCAGTGATTAATAGGATGTAGCAAATATCAGGCTCATAGCTAGTTCATCATCAGTTACTCAGGATTTTGAGTGCACTAGGTCATGGACCTTCACTATTTCAGCAACTTCAGGAGTCTGCTGGCAAGACGCAGACTGTACAGCCACTACTGGAGTTCTCTATTGACAGAGAGTTGATCCTGAGAGGCTGAGATGTTAGCTCTTAATCCATAGCTACCATGAGACTAACAATGACACATGGGCTTTTAGCCTCCACAGGTCTGAAAAAAAAGAGACATTCATGACTTAAGTGAACAACTGATACAGATCTGTTTCTTTCCACAGGGAAGCTACAAGATTGTCCTTGTCTATGACGCTTGGAACACAACTGTTCTGGAGATTTCTGACTAATTAAACTGAAATTGTTTTCATTAGCCATCTTGATTTCTTACAGCTAAAGAGCAAAAACATTGCCTAGTGCTTAGGACAACTACGGATTAGTATTATCCTGAAAAATAAACCTATTAAAACTACTATTCATGTATATTATGACACCCAAACTGCCCAGCCCACTAACCCTTCCACTCTATACTGCTTTAAGAATATGAAAGAAGACACAGGCCATAAAAAACCCCAGATACATCACATGAATAAGCTTTAAAGAACCTGCATCCACTCCCACTTTTACCCTGCAACAAAGAAAGAAAATATCCACCTGAGATCCCTGAAAAAGTAAATTGGAGGATTCAGCAGTACAATAAAACATCATATACTCATTATTATTCTCTCCACTCACCATTTAAACAGAAGTGTCTTTGCAGCATCTACTTTGTTCTGTTTATACTCTATTATTGCCAAGGCAGTCAGGATATGTGCTTTATCTTGTTCAGACTCAGCAACAGACAAGGCTTTTTCATAGGCTGGTAAAAATTCAAGACTCAGAATTGAAGTAGAAGAAAAAAATACAACATTCATAAAGCCTCTAGGAAGGCATGATATTAGAACACACACACAGAGGCACTTTGATTTCAGGTTCACTATATTTTCACACCTCAAATCTTAGGCAGAAGACAAAAAAAGTTGACTAAGCATTGGAAGTAACCGTATGTTAGGAAATGCCAGATTTACAAGGCTGTTTAGAGCCTGGGAATTGTTTAATATGTAGCAAGTGGAAATAGAACTGAAAAGCAGCGTTGGGATACCCAGAAAAAGCCTGTAAGAAAGAACACAGTTGAAATACCCCCGTGACAGTTTGTTTATGAAACAGTACTCCAGATGGGCACACATCACTCCAGTCAAAAACTAAGAGTTATTTAAGATGCTGAGCTGGCTGCTCCTTCGCAAGTGCTTACACTTCTACACTGACAATTCAGTATACATCTTAGCAGTGCAGAAGACAACAATACAGCATTTATATTTATCACTAAAGCTAAAGTGAACAACACATTAATCTCCTACCCAGAACTGATTTTTCCAGGAAAGCCATTTCATTTGAGAACAAAGGAAGCTAAGAGCACAATAGCTTAATGGACAAGAATGAAACACTTAAAGAAATGTAGCTTCCCTTTGTACATTTGAATAGTTCTACTACGTTGCTTAACAGCCTAACGATTCAAATAGTTGTATTTTGTACTTATGCATTAGGACTGAAAGAGTGAAATAAACTGAACTACAGCTAGGTTGGTCAGACATCAAATTTTGTTAAGATTAATCTCAAGAGAAGTGTCCCACAGTGCTTTGAACTAGGCAGATGCTTACCTTTGATACTTTCCTGCAAGAGTCCTTTCTTGAAGTAGGCTAATGCTAGCCCCACAATCCCTTCAAACTCAGTTAGGGGTGTTGATGTGTAAACCTCAATGGCCTTATCACACTGGCCAAGGGCACTGTAAAGGCAAAAACAGTCACTGGTATGAACAGCTGCTTTGATGCAGACAAGCTGCAGAGGATACTGCAGACCAGTATCCTGTTTTCCACAACAGCTGTAAGCAGACATCTGGAAAAGAGCAAGATGAGGACAAGTGTGCAATATTACCCAACCTCCTTCTGTTACAGCAGTTACTTTCTCCATGTATCCATTGCATGAAGAATAATCGATAGGAAAAAGTTCTCCCCGTCTGCATAACCGTATGTAAGGACGTCACTTAATGGTCAACACAACGGAGTGGGAGAAAATAGCAAAGAAGAAACATGAAAGAAGCAATTCGAAGTATGCATGCACACAGACAGGCAGGCGCACGTACAGATGGAGAAACAGCAGTCTTGTTCTAAGACCACTGTGGAAGAAATTATACAGGATTGTGTTTCTTAGAACTAACTGTTAGTTACTGGAGCTCTGCTCTTGTGCAAGTTGCACACAGGAATCATCACGCATACAGCTTGGATGTGAGACCACATGAAACTGAAGAGTTGCTTCTAAAATCTTCCCTGAAGTTGAAGAATGAATGATCAGATTATCACAGCCTAGACGTTCCAGTGGCACGTACAGAAACTTCAGAATATATGAAGTTTCCCTAGAGAGCTGACAAATACCTAATTAGCAAAGCTTGAGCTATCTCATATCAAAGAGAAGTCTGAAAGTCTTCATCTGTTAAGACTTGTGTCCCATATTCCCTGAGAACCAGAAGGGAATCATGAAGGGAACTTACAATTGTGAGTAGGATTGCAGCAGAGAGGGTCATCAGCAGAAAGATCACGCACACGTACACAACACCCCAAACCCCACACGCTTCAGGCTCCGTAAATCAATACAAATTCAAAGGGCAGGTAAAAGGGTTTTCAAACAAACCTTCAAGCAGCTGTTTTATTCAGACAAAGCTGCTATACTTCTCAAGCGTGGACATGGTAAAAAATCCAATTTTTTCTGGAGACAATGAAACAGCTATATTGTGTAGACTATGTTAAGGTGCTTAAATATCAAGCTAAGGATAAAGGAATCACTGCTATGTTACGAACTGTGAAGATATATAGCAATTCCTTGCAGTCTGATTTTTTTTTTTTTTTTTAAATACACTACCCATTTCTGGGGCACATACAAAGTTCAGTCAAATTTGTCTACAATTAAGAACGATGTGTTTTTTAGCAACGACCTTTCACCTTTCAGCCTCGTCCGTGTTTTGCACGACTGCGTTCACTACATCCGAAGCTGAAGTTAGGGGCTGGGAAAATACGTCAACAAACACTTACCACAGTGACCTGGCATAGTTTTGCATTGCATTATTGTACTTCTCAGTATCCTCAGAGTTTTTCAGCAATGAAGCTGCCCTGAAAATAACCGCAATTAAGAATAATTACCATCTGACTGTAACACGCATATTTTGACAATAGTTCTCAGAGCAGAATGGACAAATGCTTTACGCAGAAGCTTTGCTATGCTAATTAAGCACAAACAGAGCTTATTTTACAGTTTTAATGGATTAGCAAACATGTTCAGCAAACATGGTTTCCTTGCCACCTCCCTCTATCATCTGAAAAGAAGACAGAAGGAAAAACCAAAAACAAAGCCCAACCACCTCAATTAATCACGAGGCAGAGATCAAAACTAAAACCAAGCTTATGAACCCCCAAAATTTCACTGAAATCCCATACAGTGAATTAGCTAAATGCCCTGGTAAGACATGCAAACTTTGGAATGCCTTTACTTCTCCAGTTCTGTGTTCTGCATTTCCAAACTTGATATAACAACATCCCCACACCTCCCCTTACAGTACACTTAGTTGAAATGTACTGTTGAATTGAGAAAGTAAGGTTTCCTAAAAGAAAAGAAAAACCGTTAAGTCTTTCAGCTGGTGCACAGAAAAAAGAGGCCAAGGAGCTCCTATCAGTAAACCTTCCAAGGGCGCATAGCTTACCTTTCATAGGCATCTGCTGCCTGCCTTTTTAGATGCAGGTACTCGTTCAAATAACCAAGCATTGTAAAAGCAGACGCATCATCTGGATTTCTTTCTAGAAAACCAGAATTGACAATATAGGAGAACGTGATCAGAAAGAGCTGTGGAAAAGCATTACAAAAACACTGCTACATTGATGCCACAGGGTATGCATATATACAAAACTCTTTGCCAAGTGCTTCTGTCAGTTGCTTACTAGAATTGCTTTGACAGGCTGCAGGCAAATACAGAAGAGATACAAAGACCCACCACATGACATCAGGGTAGCTCAAAAACATTCAGGAACTTATGACACAGCACTAATGCACTCAATATATTTTAAGTTTCTCAGTAGTTTGGGGTTTATTGCAATGAAAAAGGAAACTATTCAGCTTGTAAAATACTAGTAGAATCTTACGATTTATTTTTAATGCTACAACTTTGAAATATTAATAGCTAAGGTACAGATCTGTCAGCAGTCATCTCATTACAGACTTCTAACATTTTTTCCCAGACTAGGAAAGATCATGTAGGCCTCTCCTGCAGTCCATTTAACAACAGGGATTGCACAAAGAAATACAGTCTCACATTTATCTCATTTTAAGTGCTTGCCCCTTATTTTGTAGCTCTCAAAAATCAGCAACAGATTACTCATCAAAGGATTTATTTACAGTAATTAAAGAATTTACAGATTAAAGAAAATCCACATTTGCTCTATCTACCTTCTGGGCTAGACATACACAAGCCTACCCCAACGGGGAGACCACACTGGCTTGGAACCATGCCCAAGAACACGGGCTGTCCCCTGCTGAAGGTTAACACAATCATGTGCTTGACGTTATGGAGTCACACAGCATCCAGAGGCAGGCTTCTGCCCAACATCACAGCACGGGGGCAAAGGAGCTAGCATCTATCTGCACCTATGCGTACAGACTCACCCAAAGGAAGTCTGTCAGCAAACACTTGATGACAAGCACAACAAGGCTCTGGCCCTGATTTTGATGAGTCTTTAAAACAAAATCTGCTGGAATGAGTAGGAAGACAGAACTCGCATCTGTTTCATCTTTGTGTGACAATACAACACAGCAGCCCACTCACCCTGTTTCGGTTACTTAACTCTACAGTTCAAAAGTCTCTCCCCAAGCCAGCCAGATCACCCTCTGCCAGAACTAGTACACGTGTATCCACCCATTCAGAACTTTAGACTTGATAGGTTAGTGGGACATTTAAATCACCTACCTGTATACTTGCTCAAGACCACTTGGGCTCCTGGAATAGCATTCATTTGAACAATGTTGTACAGATACAGTTCGGTGTTTCTGTTGCTTTTATCCTGCAGTGTTGAACATACCCAGTGGGCATAGCCTTTTACTCCCTCATTCTCAAGAAACAAACAAAAAACCCCAAAATACGAGTCATTAAACCTGCTCAAGCAACAGTGAAATAATTAAAGATTATAATAACAATTCTGTGTTTTAAGACACAGTCTTGGCTAAAAATCTGCATCAGCATGAAGCAGGAGAAGAAAATACCAAACTCGATTACTCCATGCACAGTTTTAAGCCGTCCTTTGGGCCAAGAGAATTCTTAGACACTAACATATCACTTGCTGCACTACTGGAGGGATGACAGATGAAAGAAGCTGTAAGAGAACGTAAAGTCCTCCACTTTCTTAGAACTCAGGGTACTGGCAATATTCTTGCTCTCTCCTGGAACAGTTATAATTTATGCCTTTGATCTCTGTCCAATTCTGCAGAATATCGAGAATGTTTTTTCAGGACTTAGGGAGCAGACTTCTGGGACTATTGGGACCAAAACATTTAGTAAAATAACTGCCTGCTATTCAGTGCTGGGAACAATAACATAGACATCAGGCAATCTCATCTGGAACACGACCATAACTGTTTTACCATTCAAGACATGCCTATTTTAAAAAAAATTACATGACCTAAGTAGCGAGATTAGATAAGCGGAAACTTCAGGACAGTACAACTGTTAGACTTACATGCATGCTGAGTTCAGTTGTGTGTCTGAAGAGATCCATAGTATCATAGCTGCCTATCGTCTCTGCAACGAGAGCCTACAGAGAAGCAAGAGCTGCTGTGGTCAGGTACTTTTAAAAGTTACAACATCGACAAGAAGCTCAGCACACATTACTTCAGACATATCTTAGGCATTTAACACAAAGACACTTTCTTTTCTCATACTCTCCAAGAAATATCAGTTTTAAGAAGAAAATGAACACAATTAAAGGGAGCAGTTTCCATGTAGCTATGAAGTTCTGCTGCTGCTACTTTACATTCTTCAGGACAAAGACTTTGTGTTAGCACAGCTTGTAACAACAGCTGACAGGCGCTGAACTTTGACATGTGATGGTGCTGGTTCTTCACTAGAATCCAGTCTCAATTACCTGTATCAATTAGCTGTTATTAGGAGGTCAGCAGCATGGGATTATGAAGTGCACCTATACTGATCATAAAAGTATGAGCCACAAATACTTCTACTATTCATGGACGGCCTAGACACCAGTGGGAGCATATCCAGCACTCAGTGTTAAGGGGAGGAAAGGACCTCCCAAGAAGTACAAACTGCTTTTGTCCCAGGTACATTAGAGACTTTCTAACAGCACTCGACTTCTAGTACCACTGAGAAGAGAGTTAAGTAGTGCCATATAACGAGGCAGGGGTACAGCTGAAGCTGAAATAAACAGCACCTCATGAAGACGGTGCTTTGCGGACAATGCTCAATAAAAAGCTCCAGAGCCCAAACAGCTGTTGTTTTTTTAATAGCTAGCTCCTTACAACATCAGCCAGAATAACATTATATAAAGATATCTGATGAATGTAGCTTCCATTGTACTACCACCATAGAAACAAAGGGAGCCATCCACCCTCAGGGGAATTAGAAGCTCCCTTCATTTAAATACATTTAATTTTCAGGACATGCTTAAATGCCAATTATTAGGACAGAGCCCAAGTCCTCTCTTTGACTAACAACCGGGTTTGGTGCACAGTTCCATGTTTTTTTGTCATCTTACCTGCCCAATCCAACACAGTAAGTAAGTAGGGTCCAGAGACTGGGCTACCTTGAAGGCTTCATGAGCTTGCTGTAGAACCAAAGATAACAGTGCTATTGTACTGTCTGGCATGGTAACAGAGCACTTTTGAGAATACACTGTTATTGACATGCAGTAGTATCAGAAGAGGTTTCACAGACAAAATTAGGTCACTACTAAAAACATCTGCTGTGCCATATAGAACGATGCACTGCCCAGAGAAATAAAACAGTTTAGTCTTACTAAAAAAAAATTTAAAAAAATCTTTACAAGATCAAAGTTCCCCCCCATTCCAAATACATCTCCTTCTTAAAACAGTTCAGCAGCCAGATTACCTCTTAGAAAAATTATTATTTTAAAAGCTGACTCTTGGACGACAGAGTTTTGGAAATCTGCTTTTCCTTCACGTGAACAGTTAAACTAACATGTTTTCAAAACAGTAAAACTGATTATCGCCCAAAAACTAGCTTTTCCCTACGGACTGCTTCTGTTTAGACCCCCTCCCTCAACGTGGCATAAGGTGAACAAAATCTTAGCATTAGTACTCTTAGCAGTAAGCAGTCTGCAGTATCAAGTTATTTTTATTAAAAATAATTCTGACCATCACATTTCCAATTAAACAAAATTTCTAGAATTCTGACCAGCAAAAAGGATAGGATGTAGTTTTAGCTGCATGAAAACTCTGGACTTCACTTAAAATGTACTCCAATTTTTCTCCAGAGAAACTCTGAAGGTTACACAGTAAATCATATGACACACTGCTGAGCAGAAAGCAGCTACCTAGGGAAACTCAGACTAAGTTCTGTTTGTGACTTACAATTAAAAGAGTTCTTGGTCAAACCTGGTGTGCATTGGTTTGATCAACTACTACTGAGTCCTTCCAAATACTTTTTATTCCATCCAGTTGCTTGGAAAACAATCTCACCAATTCAGAAGCTCAGTTATCCCCTCCAGAACAAATATTTAATTCGTGTGCCTCACGTAAGGTACAGGCGACAAAGTTATTTCATTCAAAGTAAGTTGGTTTCTTGAATCTGAGAGGACGTTCTTCACTGTTTGCCCACACCCCCACCCCAATACATTTCCTTGAAAAAAACAAAACAAAAAAACAAAACAAAAAACTAAACATGGAAATGGAAACTATGTTTAAGATGGGAGAGAGAGTTACCTCAATGTTTCCAGTTGCCAGATACAAAGCCCCCAAGTTGGTCCAGGCAACAACATTCTAAACAGAACAAATAGAAGTTAAAACCAATGTATTATTACCACATTCAAAAATAACACTGCATCGGGGAAAAAAGGTTTTAAATGCCCACTTGAAACAGATGGCAGCTGCCTACAGCACTTACGATTTGCTCAGCTTGAACAGATTTGATGAACGAATGTTGAGCAAGAGCATAATTCCCAATAGCTGAAGAGGGGGAAAAAGAAAAAAGGAGAGCTAGAGCTAACTGGATTTCATAAACACCATTAGTCAAGTTGCTTTCTAATTTAGGATATTATGGAGCTAGGGGTTTCACTGAAGACTTACCACTACAGGAAGCAACCACACCAAGTGCATTCCAATAAAGATGATTTTTGCTGTGAAGCCTCACAGCTTTTTTGAGACACTGGAAGAAAATCAAATGTGGATTATATCACTGGAAGAGTAAAAATTAAGACTTCATGCACTTACTTATTCAGAGATGTAGGTTTTATTGAGGACAGAGAATGAAGACAAGCATCAACACCAACTTAAATTTTAAAGAATGTAACAGGAAAAACAGGCAATACCTGTAAAGACTTCTCTAGCAGTTCACTGATCTCATTCATGTCAGTGCCCACTGCTGTGAGGTGCTCTGCTTGTCGATAATAATTTATTCCAAGATCACACCATATGCTAGGCAAATGCATCAATTTTAAAGCTTTGCTGTAACACCTACAGAAACATGAGTCACAGAAACATTATTCCAAGCCTCTTTGAAGAAGAGAAGAGCAGAAAGCTGAAAAAACATTCAAAAGAGTGGTTAAAAACCTAAACCAAGCAAACACACATAAATACAAACAAAACCAGAGAAGAATGGAAAGCAAACAACTAACTGATTTTCATTCAGACAGTTATCTTCACAGAATCTACCCTGGTCTAAAGGCAGCCTGTAGTGCCCACCACTTGTGAAGCCTCAGATGTGCAATCAAAGCTGTGTCAGTTGCAATATGTACGCTTTTAATTAAAACAAACATCAGTCACTTTTACAGTTAATCAGACTTCCCTAGGAAGTATTTGACTTCATGTATCATGGCTGAGATTTACCAAGTAGTTGCATTTCCTGCCTAACACATCCAACAGCACAAAGCTCAGAGGAGGTCACAGAGGAGGCTACAGCAATACTACAAATATTTTCTACGATATGAGCTTCCAGGGCCAGAAACAAGGAATTCCCTCTTCCAATGTACTCTAGACCCCATACCTAGGGCAAGAATTGATGACAATTTTATAAGAAAGAAATACAGACAGAAAGCTTAAAGTATTATCTTGGACTTCAGTAGTCCTGAGAGAATTAGTTAGCAATGACTGCAATCACTTCATTTAAAAAGGTGCGATTTGTTGATGACAGGCAAGATGTAGTCATGCTTTGGAGACAGAAACAAGGAGAAGAGCAGGTACTAGACGAAGTGTTGACCATCACTGTGGCAATCCAGGAAACACATTCTGAAATGAGCAGTGTAATCTGGAAGAAGCATGAGACCCCACTTACCACCTCACTATTTTTTTCTCAATATGCATGTGTTGACAGATCAGCATGTCTTTTCTAGAAATGGTCTAGAATACTTGATACTCTACAGAGACTCAAGCTGCACAGAAGCTCTTGATAATAGAAAATTATTACCTTCCTCCCAGACTGAGCAGCTCACTTTTCTTCAGTGTCTGTTTGCCTACATTTTTGCCCAGAAGGGATCCTAAAACTTGAATATTCACTTTGGCTGATGAAATAACATGCACACTAGTACAGGTATCTCCAAGCAGTTTCCAGAGGCAAGATACATCAGGACGGTGCTTTGTTGCCCTGTTGATACAGAAACCCCACACAACACTCAATCAGACGCTTCACTATCCTTTTCTGAAAGAAAGTTCACCACTTTGAAGAGCGGCACAAACTCAAAGGTAATTAATCAATGAGCTATTTGATTATTTTTTTTTAATTCAAGTTTTCTTCCTATTCAAGCTATAGGTCTAAAAGGTCAAAAATAACCAAAAAAAGATAAACTACAAAATGCCAGTGTATCCCAGCTTCCTTGGGACGAAGAGTTAGCTCTGAAAATTAGCCATTATCTATCAACACGTCAGCTGACTACTCCTACTCTTGCATTTCAGAGCAGTACCATGTTATATTACGAGACATGACTCATCTGCAGAAGCCTGATGGACCTTCTCCTACACCTGCAGCTCTCCCAAGGTTTAATTTTGTATGAAATGTAAAACAAAAAGATTGAAGAACAGAAGGAACAAATTCCTCTCATCCATCGTTTTTGTTAGAAATCCCCTCCTCCCAGCCCCATACACACAGGAGGACTACTGGAGAGAACTGTGTGTCATTTCACACTTGTGTTATAATCAAATGACTCCCTCTCTTTAAACAGAAAAAACGCCAAAACTGTATAATTACCATTCACTTAAGCAGCCTAAGTCCAGAATGTATTGTTCAAACCATCTTCAATAGGCACATTCCTCCTTCTAGATTAGAAGCCTGGTCCATTCAACTTATTTTAACTGGAAAACCTCAAACACTTAACTCTTATTCCTCTGCCCGTTAACCCACAATCCCAGTGGAAATTAAATAACTGAATATTTAGTACTAACCTTGTAAAAAATTCAAGAGCCTGCTCTATGTAATCCATGGCCTTCTTATCAAAATAGTTATCAAGGGCTGATCTTGCCAGCAAGAGATAGCACTCACCAAGTCCTGAAAATAAAAGAAAATATTGTCTATGAAAGCTTTTATGATACGCTTGATGCAGGAGGTGGGGTGGAAGGGTGGAAGCCTGCTCAGTGTTCTGCTTGATATAAAGATTTATACCCTGCACAGCTTATGCCAAAATCAAAAGACCCACAGTACTCAAAACAGAGACTTTGCTTTTAACCTGTCCTGTCAAGTCTGAACTGTAGAATAATTTGAATATTAAAATAAGCCTATTATTAAGCAGGGCTTACACAGCATTGAGGGTGTCTCTCCAACATGCCCCCCTCACCTGGTAGGCTGGGGGTGGGCAAGATCTTGGGAGGGGACATAGCCAGGAAAGCTGACCCAAGCTGACCAAAGGAATGGTCTTTGGTCATACAATGTCTGCTCAGCAATAAGAGCCAAGAAAAAGGAGGAAGGGGGTGGCATTAATTATTATAACGTTTATCTTCTGGAGCAACTACTAGGCATACAGAAGCCCTGCTTCCTGGGAACTGGCTGAACACCGACTGCTGGGGAAGTAGACAATAAATCTTTTTTTCCTTTGCTCCCATGCACAGCCTTTGCTTTTGCTTTATTAAACTGCATTTATCTTGACTCATGCTTTTTTTCAATCTCATTTTCTCCCCTGCCCCTATACTGCTGAGGAGGGGAGTGACAGAGCAGCTGGCGGGCACCTGGCGTCCAGCCAGGGTCAACCCGCCACCTACGGAAACAAATCCAGCTGTTGAAAAGGAACTACATCTAATGCCACAACTTCTAGTGTTCTGGAGCCAACAAGGTAACCGCTTGGTTTACAGGCTTGCTGGCACCAGCAGTGATTCTGTCTGGCAGTAAGTCACTGGCTATGAGTAACATTCATTTTCAGTATTATTTTCACTGTTCTGAGGCTACCTTCCTCATGCTATCGTACCCTGTACCTATATGAAACTACTAAGCGCAGTAGTCATGTTTTGCAAGCATTTTTATCTTGCCCCCACAGGTTCTTGTCTTGACCACACAGAAGTCCCAAGATCATGAGCTTCTCAGAAGGCAGGGAGCTCTGTAATCTAAAACCAAAACTGATTTTATTGTTAAATTATACTTAAAAAGATATGCTGGAGCAGAGGCAGAATAAACATACCATGTAGTAACACAGGAATAAAACACATTGAAAAGATACATTCACGTAACATCAGTATAGTGATTCTCTCACCTACTAGGAGACTGTCCTTCCAACAAATTAATTCAGAAACTAACTGATCAGAACTGTACCAAAAGAACACTGCTGTATGTTTCAGAGAGTTTTAAGAAGGCCCACAAAAGACAGCCCACCAGACTAAACATTGAACTGTCTCCATGAAGGTGAAGACTGTTTTGAGACATTTGAGATCTCCAGCAGGATCTGGAGCTACCAATTCAGAGATTAGGATGAGACAGATTACAAGAGAGAATTTAGGAGACTGGTTAAGTACACAGGGGGGAAAAACCTTGATATCATCCTCTCTAAGCATTTTATTCCAGGTAACACTGTCATCTGTTACCTACAGACACTAAAAAAAGCCATAGACACATGCACACTCCTATACAACACCTTTGCAAACTGCTCCTGCAGTCAGTCAGCTGTTGCCTTCTTCCCTGACAGCTAGTAAAACTGCCTATCTGCAATACCAACTCCAACTCCATCATGGAGCTTTTGCCACGTCGCTTTAGTCTGGCAAACCAAGCAACAAAATTATAAAGACGGAGGTAGAGGGACAACCACCCTGTGTCCCTTTCAGATGAAAAACTTACTGTTGCAATAGTAACCCAACACTTCTGACTTACAAGAATCAGCTTACACTTACCCAAAAATCAAAAGGCCTTACAACAAAAGAAGCCTCTATAACTCAAAAATTCATACCAGTACCAAGCAGCAACTACTTCAGACGGATGTATGGGGTGAAAATGATTGAAGACTAAGTAGCAGGGAGAACGTGAACTGAACAGTTATTTATCGGCTATCAAAATTTTATACACTCCCAGTATTATTTATATCTCTTGAGACTCACAGTTCCATCACCAGAAAGGAGTTCCAGTTCCCTCATTTCTCTCTGCTCCCCGCTATATACTTAAGACCTTTACCTATCACCATCTCTAACACTTGTGAGACCTCTCAGGATACTCTACCGCTATTTTTCACCATTTGAAGAAGCTCAGAGGGGTCCGAATCACAAGAGCTAACACAAAAAGTGAGGAACGCATGGTCAAGAGGAGCATAAAATTAGTATAGCCCACCTCTTTGAAACGGCACCCTGACTCCATTGCCTGTTGAGCGTTTGACTGCTTAGGTGAAACTGCAGCACTGTTAGCTGGCTTCCTCTATCTAGCCTCGATTTTTCTACCCATTTGGCCTGGCAGCTACACAAGAATTACTACCTTTCATACTTAATTGAAAGAGTAATAATCTCTCCCATGCATCATGATTTAACAGCTCTTCACATATTTGCAGGCTACTACACTCTAGCTTTCACGCAGGGGATCGCAGTGCTCTACATACTCAAAATCCAACCCTATCCTTCCATGCAGGCAAACCTCAGTACAACAAGAACCTCTCCACAAGACTGAAGCACTACAGTGTGTAGAGGGAGAAAGAGTTAACACTGTCAAATTCAGACATATTACCTTTCAGTGCAGGCACATAATCTTCAGTCTTCTTTAAGATTTGTTCATAGGTAGCTATAGCATTTTCATATTTGCCTAGAATCTGCTCAACTGCTGCAGCTCTGTAAATGCTGTACACGAGTTCTGGGTTCAGCTCACTTGCTTTCCTGAAGGATTTTAGAGCTGTTGAATAGCTACCTCTGCTCAAGTAAGCCTCCCCTAGAACCTCCCAGCAGTTGGAATCCTTTGGATCAGCTCTGACAGCTGCCTGCAAACTGAAGATATCAAGACATAAATTTACTTAAATAAAAGGAGATACAAGTTAACATAAATTATTTCCTTGCATTATATATTCTCAGGACACAAACACACAATTATATGGAACTTTTAAACACAGCATAGTAGTGTTTTCATCTTCAGAGCACATTATACAAGTTTAGCTGTTGTACCTAATCCTGGCTCATTATTCAGTGCTATACTGTGCTTGTCTATGACAAGCCTGTCATCAGGCTTGTTCACACAGAGCACTGCTATGCTGAAAAGACTACTTTGTGCTAATTCTGGAACCGAAGATAGAGCAGCTTGCTCAGACCCATTTCTCATTGTTTAGTACAAGCCATCCTATTATCAGCTAACTTATTTTCAAAACTTGCTAAGATCAGAGACCATCTTATTGGGATTTATAGAAAATGTTTTAAACCAACCACTAATTCTCTTACTCAGCCACTGCTTGTGACGGCCGATCAGTTCTCAGGTAGTAAAGTCCACGATGAAGCCAGGCCCATTTTGCTGTACCAGTTCTCGCTTTTTCCGTCACCTCATTCAGGATTGACAGAGCAGTGTCCTAACAAAACACCAAAAATAGCAGGTTAGTAAACACATGTATATGTAAAGAACAAAGTTCTTGTTAAAGAAGAATACTCCTAATCCAGCAAATCATTAAACTAAACTGTTAATTACTGTAATGAAGAAATGTTACAGGGGCTTTTTAAAGCTGGTAGGCTAAGTGGCAGATTAGAGGAGGAAATTGTCACATCCAGAGGCGCTACTATGTTTTATGTACGTGTCTTTGCAAATAGACAGTAGCTTCCTGCAGTTTTGTAATTATTTTTGTAACTATTTTTCTTTTAAACTAGAGAAGGATATAAGTATTTACAGGAAGTCAGATACTTAGACTGACTTTCCAGATGTGCAAATGCAGTCTGTCAAAGTATGGGTTGCTTTCTTGCTCTGTAATCATAGAAACATAGAATAGTTTTGGTTGGAAGAGACCTTCAAGATCATCAAGTCCAACCTTTGCCCCAGCTCTACCAACACCACTAAACCATGTCCCTAAGTACAACATCTACCCGTCTCTTAAACACTTCCAGGGATGGTGACTCCACCACCTCCCTGGGCAGCCTGTTCCAATCCCTGACAACTGCTTCAGTAAAGAAATTCCTCCTAATATCCAGCCTGAACCTCCCCTGGTGCAGCTTAAGGCCATTTCCCCTTGTTCTATCGCTTGTTAATTGGGAGAACAGACTGACCCCTGCCTCGCTACAACCTCCTTTCAGGCAGGTGCAGAGAGCGATGAGGTCTCCCCTCAGCCTCCTCTTCTCCAGGCTGAACAGCCCCAGGTCCCTCAGCCGTTCCTCATATGAGACATGCTCCAAATCCTTCACTAGCTTGGTAGCCCGCCTTGGCACCCTCTCCAGTACCTCAATGTCCTTCTTGTAGAGAGGGGCCCAAAACTGAACACAGTATTCGAGATGGGGCCTCACCAAAGCCGAGTACAAGGGAATGATCGCCTCCCTACTCCTGCTGACAGCACTATTCCTCATACAGGCCAGGATAATAGTACAGGCTAAGAACTTTGTATTACAAGGCTATATATTTTTTAAATGTTCTGATGACTTTGTATGCTTTTCCAGAAAGCAGCAAGGCAGAGGATGGAGAAAAGATGTGGCACAAGTCAAATATGAAAAAAAAAACCCTAATTTTCCCTTCACATTCCCTACCGAAAAAGTCCTTCATCTAAACCACATATGTGATGACTACAATGCTAATGCTTGGTTCCTCTACTCTTCTCCCCAGACAGATTTAACTTGGAACTGGTGCAGGTCCAACATGAAAGCTGCTAAGCAGTAACAGAACATCTGTTTTCAGATCTTATTCTCAAATACAGAGGAAACCTAAAGTGATTCCTCAAAGAGCAGGATGAACGGAAAAACAAAAGAGCAGTAATCCAAAGTCCTGAATGTACAATACCATGTCTCCCAGTTCCACACTTAAGTCTACAGCTGCTGTTCCAGATTCTTCATCGGTCCCATCCAGTTCAAAAGCCTTTTTATAGCAACCACGAGCTCTACTTTTGTCTCCAGCAATGTCTCTGTAGTAGTTACCTAAATAATAAAAGACACTTCCCAAGTAGTTGTCCAATTTTGCAGCCTATAAGGAAAGATGAATACAATATAAGACAGCATTTTAAAGGATTATACTGACGGACAGGTCCACTGATAACTACTTGTTCAACCTCTGCTTATCAACCTATTTAAGCCCCTTCTGTGATACCTCTGTGTAGCCAAACTTTAAGATTTCAGAGATTACTTAAGCTTTAAATATTTGCAGCATTTGCTTGCTACAAACCTCATGACACAAAGCATTTTGTACATGAAGTACTAACAAGCTACATCCCAACATTTTCGTATTCTACTCCGTTTCAACTATTATGCGCATATTCTCACCATATTACATCACGATTAACTCCAGACTTTTCCAAAGTGTAAGTTCCTTTTTAGATACACTTGGCAGATTTGTTTATACTTAAGAAACCCGCAGCCCCCAAGCAGCAGGAAACAGCTTTGACAATAATAATAATAATAATAATAATAATAATAATAAAAAAAAAGCTCACATAAAATGGTTTAGAACGAAACAGATTGTTCACTTCAACTACAGTCTCCAGCATACTCTGCTTTACTGAAGTGCAAACAGTAGGCCATGACTTGAGTTGCCAACACCTATCATCAAGTTATATGGTGAGTCTGACTTTACAATTTCTAGAGTCATATTTTGTATACTTCCCTGTTCCCAATAAAGACGTAAGATTAAATCTTTTGGATTCACATTCTTCCCTATGTTCAGAGAAAAAACCACAATGACCAAAAACCCAAAGATCAGGAAAAGTGTATAAATTGTGGGATTTTGTAGACTTACTTCCTTGGACAGACATTGAAACCTCTAAGACCATTCTCATCTTTTTTCCTTCCTCCCTTTTTTTCCAATTCGAATTTTGCCCTCCCCATTTCAAAATGTCTTCAAAGACCAACTCCAGTCATCTAGAGGCCTCAACTTTACAGCCCTCAAGGAGAGAGGACTGAGAGAATCGCCACCACCTTTGGCTAAATCAAAGGCCTTAGGAATTACGTGAAAAGAGAAAAACAAAAGCAGGAAGATTCCAGGTAACAGCACAGCTCCCTGCAATGCCTTTTTGCACAGCTGAACTTGGTTTACAGGCTCTGGAGGCTTGTAAACAGTAACAAGCAGAATATTCAAGTCTGTCATTCCAGTCAGTGTAATTTTGCATATTTGGCTTCTGATATAGGAAAATACTAATTCTACACAAATAGTTAAAGCAGCCTTTACCTTCAAGAACTGAGTGAGTGCTTTTCCTTTGTCTTTTTTGGTCTCATCACTCATGAACCAGTACGTGAGCCCCAGGTACTGATGATACTCTGCAGCTTCGGCCTTTCTTTCAATAGCATTTAGAAAACTAAATAAAAGGAACAGAGGTCAGATCAGACAAATTCTCAAAAGCTACAAAATACTATATTCTATTCCCCTCTTACATTTCCCTGTTAGAGGAATGGAAAAAAAAGTATCTACCTTCTTTCTGCCTGTTCATAGTTCTTTTGGGAATAATGGATGAAACCCTCCAGAGCATGGGACTCAGCCAGATCAGGATGGGACAACAGAAGTTCTTGTGAGATCTGCAAAACGATGTCATTTTTCCCTAGTTATTTCCTCTATGAAACCAGGAATCCTGCTTAGTGAACAGGAATGACAATACAGCACTGACCTTTGAAGCTTGATCCACTAAACCTTTGTTCAGATAAGCCCGGCCTTTGATAGCTAAAACCACTGGATCACTGCTTGCATTCACAATCTAGAAAACCAAGTGATAGACATGACCAAGTTATTCTCTCCCCAGATCAAGAAATAAAAGATGTCAAAAGGAGACAGACTGCATGAAGGTAAAGATGAGAAAACATTTAGATAGAAAGGCTTGAGAAGCCTTAGACAGAGTCATTTTCATGAAGAACAGGTGAAAGATTGTAGAGAGTAACGACAAAGTCCAAACAGCAAAGAATGAATATGTGAGGCAAGAAAGGGGAAGCAACTTCTGCTTAAAGCTTAACCACTCTACCTTAAAATAACATGCTCTTGTTTATGACTAAGGACAAGTGAATGAAGGACATAGGGAGTTATAAAAATAACTCAAATTAAGATGATCAACAGCCATAGAACTAGCAAGAACGCAGCAGCACCAGACAAGGTCAAAAGTGACAACTTCCAAAATTAGAATCATGAGTGAAAAAAAGAGTTGTAGCAAAGCTTGAAAAAACAGAGAAGGAAGCAGTATTTGGATTCCGCCATAGTTGGTAGGAGTTGTCTAAACCGCACAGAACGCAAAGAGGAAGCAAGGTGAGAAATACACAGCTTGGGGTTTTAGTACAGAAAGACGAGAGCACTTTTTAGAGAAAAAAAAAAACAAACCAAACCAAACCATTTTAGACAATGAAAATACCTGCTCAAGTGCTTTAATAGCTTCTTCTGCAGCATCAGCATCAGCTATTTTTATCAAAGCCTCTGCTTTCAATTGAAGGATAAGATTCTTCCACTGAAGACTAGGACCCTCAGGAGTTCCAAGAGCCTCAAGAGCTGTTGACAAGAGAAAAGTTTCATCAAGTAAAAGTAGAAAAAGTAACTACAAAGAGGACCACTGTTCCCAATATTTTTAAAATCTTGTTAATCACAATTTTTCAATCTAATAGAGCACCACTTAATAGAACAATTTTTTGACTGCTCTCCCCCACGTTGAAGAGATGTTCTGTACAATTTCTATCCATTCAAGTTTATAAGTTAATTTTAGAAAGCTCCTCTCGGAGACGTGGAGAGCCTGATTGCTTTCTAGCTGCTGGCCTTATAAATGGAATGTGATGTTTTTCTGATCTATGTTCTGAAGAAACAATGACCTTTCAATAAACAAGCTGTTTCACACTTCAGTGTTTAAAGAAAAAAAGTGTTACTGAAACCAGGGGTTTAGTCTGTGCCTATGCAAAGGTAATATTGTACCTTTCTGTGCAGTACTGGTAACTTCTTCAATACACAGTATAATGTCACTCAGAGAATGAGGGCATCTGTTGCATTCTCCAAAGGCAAGAACTTTCTGAATAACTCAATTGACTACATTTATTTTCACATACAATGAAGTTTTGTCTGACTTCATACGGCCAGTAAGACAAGGCAAGCATAAAGCAATCTTTCCCCAGAATTCTCTCCAACTTCCCACATATTCTTTGGACTCAAGGAAACTTTTTGCATTCTTTTAGCAGGGCACGATAGCTTAACAGACACCTTGCATTGAGAAATAAAACTTAGTGTGTTTGTTCTGAGCCTACCAGCTTTTAGTTTCACTTGGTACTAACTAGACCTCACAAAGGAAAACAAAACACTTGATCCTTATTTATCTTCCACTTCACTTACAACTTCACATATTTGAAAATCATCTTTTCTCCAGACTTCACAGGCTATTTACTTGTTCTCATATGCTGCATTTTCCATAAATTCCAGACATATTAGTCTATTAACTTCTACTATTATTTTCTTTTTGAGAAAAGGTGGATGGGTACCAAAATTGCACACAGATTTCACCATGCTGCTAAAGTTCCCAAAGCAACTGCATGTTGGTGCTCTGTTTCAATAACCATTCCCTTCCTTGTAATTCCTAGTATTTGACCTGAATGTAAAGCGTAGAAGGGGAAGGAAACAGCATTATTTTTTCCATAGAAAATTAAGACCTTCCTGGTCTCTACTTCAACAAGACTGTAGGACAGATTTGTGGGAACAGTTCTTCCCACAACTGTATGATTTTGCATTTAAGACTATGGAATTTTATTTATTATTTTAACACCTCATTACCCACTCTGGTAACCTCCTCTTAGAATTCTGCAGTCTGCTTTGAACAGCAGCAAACTTTATAACCTTATTACTCAACACTCATAAACGACTAGGAAAGTGGATGACCAATATCGGTATGGGTAAAAATGTCAGGGACATCTCCTTCTGGCCAGTAATTCCTCCTTCTAGACGTTACTACTACACTGTGCTCTAGCTTTTGACTTATTTAAAACTGACAAAAACCACTCAATGCTACAACTCTACTTCTTAACCCAAGGCTGCTTAGTTTTCAACAGACTTGTATGAGACCTTATCAGTTACCACCTGGAAATCAGAGTAGACTATACCATATCCCTCTTACCCATCTGCTCATAAACTCCTTCAAGGATTCTAAAATAACAATTTACTTTACAAAAGCCATACGCTCTATCCTTAAGAACAATTTTTCTACACGTATTCTCTAACTCTGTCCTTCCAGCTTTAACTAATTTAACCACTAAACATACCAGCCGGTTTCCCCGATCTTTTGTAGAATCCTTTTTAAAAGTTAGGGTCACGCTATTTACCTCAAAGGATTTGGGTGCCAAGTCAGTTTAAGCAAGTAGTTACATAAACCACTTAGTACTTTAGCAATTTCATTTTTATGTTCCTTGGTCAATTCCTACGTCAATCTCATAGTTCCTTAACGCTAATTTTTCTTGCCTTGTTTTACAGCAACTTCTATTAATGCGATAATCACAGACAAGTTGTTTGATGAATCCCCTGAAAAGAAGGGCCATGATGTAGAATTCACTCTGAGCTCTTCTGCACGGAACACAGATGGGAAAAGAAACACCTCATTTTCATTCTTTCTACAATAAATTTCTTTCTACCTACTTTGTTCTGTTTTCACATTTCCTCTGCCCAAATTTATAGGCCTTTTGAATCTTCCTCGCTGGCAAGTACTTCCCCTTGCTTTTAATAATTTCCCATGACTGTTTAGTCAGGTGTGCACACTTCTACATCTTGAAGTTTTTCTTGAGAAGTTTTTATTGCATTTGTCCCTGTCAGAAAAAAGTCCACTTTGGCTGCCCCTTCATTTATAATCATTAGAAAATGGCTCTATTCAGATTAGATAAGCATCACTAAGCCATAATAACTGCCCTCATTCCCATCTAGCACAGATTAAGATCTAAACTCAGTGACGTTTCTTAAGATGCAGTTGTAATATGCAAAACATCTGCATTTTATATTAAACTGATTAAAATCTTATCTTTTAAGCCTAAATCCCAAGTCTACCAGACTAAAAATTTTTGACACCTGCCTTTGTGGTTTCGGGCAATTATCTGCCCGAGTTGATCAACCAGCAGCTGAAGAAGCACATCAGAACAGGAAAACCTTCTAAATATTAACGATCAGACAGCTTTCTGGTTCTGATTACCCAAGTATTTTCTCTTTTCCTGAGACTAAGCAGCATGAGGTGCTGTCATAAATGAAGAGAAGAAGGGGACACCAGCAAAAGTCGTGAGACTGCAAAAAACAAGGGCCAATGACTGCTGCTAACTCAGACCTACCATGCACATTGGCTGGACTACATAAAGTGGTGTACCCCTGCAGCTGCTCTTCCAATTAGCAGGCAGTTACCTTGATTGCAGGACAGGACAGCATTCCTCTGTTTGTGAATTTTCATCTGTGCCTCTGCCAAATAACGCCATGCTGCTGGACACTGGCTAGTCTTCTGCAAACCTAATAAAACAAGAGTTTAAAAAAGGCGCTAAAAAAAGTTGCATAGGGCTGCAAATACACTGCAGTTAGCAGACGCAGTATTGCCATACAATGCCATCAAAAACATGTTATCAATCAGTAAGACTTGCAGTTAATTTTTCCTTTGACTCTTATTTTCAAGTGTTGTAGACCTAGAGGTCTCCACGCAGTAAGGCAAAGATTAAGAAGCACATAAGTTTCTGTTAGGCTTAATTTTGCATATAATGTTACATATACAGAAAAGAAAAAGGGGAAAAAGTGAGGAAACACACATCACTGGCTTAACGTACACTTTTCTTTCAAAAGGAAAAAAGTCCTTCATTTTGATCAGACATTAATGTCAGCAGCCTGTAGACCACTTTGTAAAGTTTTTCTTGGAAACCAGAAAAGGCCTGTAGAACTTCAAGAGAGCAAAAAAATGCTATCAGGAGTGTTTCACTGAAACTTCCTGATAAACACCTTAATTAAAGATTCAGTAATAAAACTCAATTTGAGTCTTCTGATGCATATTTATATTAATACTAAACAATGCCTTGAAGCTTCAATGCCTAAAATGCAAACACTTGGCTTACTCAGAAAGACGTTATTTCCAAGCTTTATACATTTACACGTTATACCAAGAGCCTTGCCCTTTGCACTCTCCCCTTCATGAGCAGAGAACTACACATAAAAGTAGAAACAAGTAAGTGAAATTATCTGATTGATGTTCTGGTGAAACACTGGTATAGGCTGCCCAGAGCGGTGGTAGAAGCCCCATCCCTGGAAACACTCAAGGTCGGGTTGGATGGGGCTCTGAGCACCCTGATCCAGCTAAAGCTGTCCCTGCTCACTGCAGGGGGTTGGGCTAGCGAACACTTAAGGGTCCCTTCCAACCCAAACCATTCTACGATCTTTTGTCAAAAACATGTTATATGTTTTGTCAAAACATCCAACGGCATTTCAGCCAGAAGAATTTGCTTTGCATGGAAGACTTTTTCCTCTTAAGCACCTGAAATTTCTATATGGGATTTTAGGCAAGACATGTTATTTCACGGTGTGTAAGCTACTGTAGAATGTTGTAGAATATTCCAAAATCCAGTTTCAGAAACAATCTTATTCTAAACCTGGGTGAAAGGATGCAGCACATCTCAGCATAACCTGACTGACTTCTGATCGCTCGGATGCCAAATGTTTATTTACCCAGCATTCTCAACAAGTTGTTTTGAATTTTCCATGGCCAGCACAGTGAGACTGGAGAGTCCTATCTTCCCACTAGCATACTTACGAACCATTTTCAAGGAGCTTTGCCATTTCAATACGAGCAAGATAATTACAGACTAGTTAGCCAACTCTTCAGCAAATCTGGCTACTGTAAAAAAAAAATCCTTCCATATTTCTCTTTAGATACATTGAGTAAACACTAGTATTGGGTAAGTGTCACAGAGGTCTTAAAATGATGTAACTTTAAAAGGAAGTCATCTTTGCTCAGGTATAGAAATGCAGTGACTAGATTGGAGGAGCTGCATTACATTTAATTCAGAAATTCCACATTTCTTCATTAACTGCTATTGCCGTAGTTACTGTTTCATCTAGGTATTTCCCCAATAACAGTCAGATTAAAAAAAAGTTTAAAATTGATCACACTGAAATACTACAGAGCTGACTATGACAGCAATGACAGACTTCAGAGATGTTATACTTAAAGCTGTATTTAAAGAAATTTCAATGTCCAGTCAGAGAAAGTGTTGAGTATTCTTTGCAAATCTAGGTGGTCTTAGCACTGGCAAAGTACTATGCAAGTGTAAGATTCCCAAAATATCCAGCATAAACCAGCTGGCATTCAAGTTATAGAGTACTTACACCTCGTATTGCACACTTACCTTCAGTAAGACTCTTAATAGCCTCCTTGTATTTCTTTTCTTGGAGGCATTTTATACCAAAACCAATGATGGCTGGACCACTGCTTGCATCCATCTCCAAAAGCCTAGAAAAACAGTGCAGGGCCTCTTCTGAGAAAGTACCTGGTTTCCAAAAAAGAAATATTTTATAGAGTTTTAGATTAAAAAAAATGCAACAGCATACCTTATCTACATAATTATGACCCATATCCTCTGAGCTCAAAGTAATGAATTTATTACCTAAATTTTTTCCAAAGGTACCGCATACTTATTGGTCTCCAACCCCAAAAACAAACCCAAAGAACAAGCAGAAACCTAAACACCCAGTATGACCAAACAAAACAAACTGTCAGTCTGAAACCTGAATTTTTAACACTCGTGTTAAATTACTACAGGCATACATCCTTTATCAACGCCTTCATATGCTTTTCATGTAAGCCTAACTGAACGACCACATGCCAAAATCTGCCACGAATCAAAATAATTTCCTTCCAGAGCAGACCTTGTGTACCTACAAATTTGCTGTGATGACCCTGCTGAAACAGTCTTGCTTTGAAAACATAATTTAATGTTTTGGTTAATTTTAACTGATGCCACTAACTTCTTACGCTTGTGTTCAGCTGTGACCGTAGACTTCGGAGTCCTTGCTTAAAGCAACTGTTGTGACTTACAGCAGCAGTCTCTGAACTACTATTTTCTCTAAAAAATTATGGACTCATTTGACGTAAAGCTTGCGTTTGATTTGCATTTGGTAAAGGTGACCAACAACGCATCTCAGTTACACGCCCACAAGTTTGGGGCATGAAGGACTATGACATGGTTGGAATGTCTCAGATATAAACAAACAACCTTACTAAAACCTAAGCATCATCCTCCTCATCCCAAGATGGCTGTGGGATGGTGAGATGTTGTCAGAGCATTAGTATATAAGAACTGTGCCAACTAGATGCTCCTTTTCCTTTGAAAATTAGTTTCTGCATATTTCTCCAAACTGTAAAGCATTCTCATAGGGAAATGAGAGCCTGGGCCTCATCTGTCTTCATCCTCTCAAATCAAAGTGAAAAATTCTCTGTTTTATGTTGCTACATTATTCCACGAAGCCTACCTTCAAAACTGGAAAAGGCATTCTTCTACCTAAGCTGAAAGTTAATTCTCTTTATATAAACCAGAGGAATTTTTTTCCTGGCTATTTCCTCTATTTTCCTGATTATCCCTCAAAAAAAAAAAAAAAAAAGTCAACTGCTGCTGCCTTAACAATAAAATTAAAGACCAAAATTTTGTAGTTATCTTTGAAAATCCTGAGCAAGTGTCCAACACTGTTGCAATGCTGTTTAGTGAACTACTGAAAATACCAATGGTAGGCTTTCAGATCCCTGCACTATTGAACACACCATGGTTGTTGGGTTTTTTTTCTCAGAGATTCTCTCTTTTTCTACTTAGAACAAAATCTAAACAGATCTGTTTATTCCCTATTCACCAGGCATTCTTTTGAAGAAAGTTTCACAAACGTTTGGTGTTTTTTTTTTGCCAAGGGAGGTTTTCTGTGTCAGAACAACCTTAGTGTAGCCTGTCCTCAGCCTCACAGCACTGGGTAACATTCTACATTCCCTCTTCTAACCTTAAGAAGCTAACTTTCATTTATCTGGAGAAGCTGGTTTCAAGTTTTGTAAGGCATTCTTTCTTTGCAAGTTTGTACATTGCCAGACTCGCAGAAGTTTTTTGCCAATTTACAGTTACCACTCAAGTTACAGAGATAGGAAATAGCAAATCATTGCACCAAACACTTTTCATTTCTAGACACACAGAAATATAACATAAAAGTAAATAGTGCACTTGCATCGGGTCACGAAGGGTAAAAACTTTTAAAAAGACTGTCACAAAACTAACTATAAAAGGAATAATTTAACCCCCAAAATGTGTAAATCCAACCTGCTCACCTGATTGAACAAAGTGCAGGCAAAGTACTTCTAAAGGGTAACTCACAGTAGGATACAAAGCTATCATATCATTACAGGCCTCTTCCAACCTAGTCGTCTCATGAGGAAACTTGAAAGGAAAAAGATAGTTATTTGTGTGAATTATCGCACATGGAATACACTACACCTATTCACTGATGAAGACAGATTAACACAACCTTACTTTTGACAAGCACCGAATAAAGTCCTTGTAAAGATTTTGGTGGTCTTCACCAGGAACAGCGTCAGCAGAGTTCACTGCATTTTCAAACGCAGTCAAAAGCTGAAATAAGAAATAATTAGGAGTGCAACAAACAATGACTCTAGAAAATGTTATCTCCACAGAAAAGACTATTTCAGTTGGAAGGGACCTACAGTGATTATGTAGTCCACCTGCCTGACCACTTGAGGGCTGATCAAAAGCTAAAGCATGTTATTAAGGGCACTGACCGAACACTCCTTCAACACCGACAGTCTTGGGGAACTGACCACCTCCCTAGGAAGTCTGCTCCAGTGTTTGGTCACCCTCTCGGTAAAGATATGTTTCCTCATGTCAAGTCCGAACCTCCCCTGACAGCTTTGAACCATTCCCAAACATCCTGTCACTGGATCCTGGGAAGAAGAACTCAGCACCTCCCTCTCTGCTTCTCATCCTCAGGAAGCCGTAGAGGGCAATGAGGTCGCCCCTCAGCCTCCTTTTCTTCAAAGCAGACAAACCCAGTGTCCTCAGCTGCTCCTCAAAGGACATGGCTTCCAGCCTTCCATAGTTAAGTAGATAGTTACATGTTATTATCTGGACTCATTAAGTTTACACTAGAACTGTGAACACAGAAAGTCACAAAGCAACTTCCTCATCGTGAAGCAGTACTCAAATAGGATTCAAAGCACGTTAATCGTCTAGTAAAAACTGAAGCAGTAATATACTGTTTCAAAACACAAGATAGGTACAAGGAAGGCAAAATTTCTAAGAACGTAGATTCTTCTTCACACCTAATCCCAACTCAAAGGAGGACTTGGTACCACAAAACCTAGGCCAGGGTCAACCCACCTCACTGTCAAAGCTTCTAAGTGATGCTTCTTGTAACATGCAGTGGTAGAACAACACATCACTGTGCTACAGTGCAAACGTGGACTCCTGCAGAACTCAGGAGGCAGTTAATTAAGGAGTTCCAGCATGACTGCTTCGATTTAGGTGCTTTATTTCACCTCAGGCTGCTGCATCCTCACTGTTTTTGTCAGAAAGTAAAACCACCCACCTTTTCCTGAGAAGTTTAGTACCACTGAACATTAGTGAGACAGTCACAAGATTTGTGCGGTGTTTAGGGCTTCATTTTTAGTCTAGCTGCACTGTACATGTATAGGTATCTGGATGAGTAGGAGTGAGAAACATTACCGACTGCTCAGTCTTATTATCCTGGTTCTCTGTACTATCTTTCAGCAACTGGATCATCTTCTTCCAAAGCTGATGAAGCTCTGCCTTTTCTGCACCTTCCTCCTGTTTCACTTGTATTAGTTTCTGCCATGTTTCAGCCACCTGTCAACAGGAACAAATGAACCATGCTGTCACTCTTCAAAGAACCGGAGGTCTGATAAAAGCCTTCCAATTCCTGTCAACCCTACCACAACAGGGCAGACAACAGAGCAATGTTGAAAGTAACGACCCAGATTCACCTGCTTTCTGATTAAAGCAATGACAAGTCCCAAAGCATTGTGTGGGACCTGTCCACCTTCCAAGGTACAGTAAATAAGGGAGGCAACATCAAGAATATGAATTCTGACTCTGGTTCCTGGAGGAAATAAACATTAAAACTAGATATAAACAGTCCTCCCATAAACTCTGATGAAAAAATTGAAGCCTTGTTGGATCTACGGCACCATGAACAGAAAGAGAAGAGCAGCAGCAGTCCACATCCAAATTCCAGTGTGGAAAAAGCAACAGAACCGAAAAAGAGAAAATAGGACCCTGAAGCCTAACTTGTGGTTTCCTGTTGCACATACAGCCTTCATATTCTGAACTGTTAGCCCTGAATCTGCTTTCAGAAACTGCTATACAAAGAGGCTTTGCAGCTAATTAATGGTCTCTAGCCCGACGTGAAGTGCTATGTAAAATTTTTCATTTTCCATTGTTGGAGGAAAGTGGAGAAGATGACATGGAGTAAGACCACACACCACCTTGAAAGAAAGTAACCTTTTTCAAAGATAGAAGTGTGCAGTGTAACAGCAAAAACATGTATCTTGTACCACTACTACAGAAACTATAGACAACCATTCAGGCATTGAGCAGCTCCACCTCGTGGTAAACTGACAAGAGCCACGACTATTTCTGCAACGGTCATGCCGACACAGACTTTAGGAGCGCTAGGTGGGCTGAAGCTTGGGTTGAAGTACATGCCCCTCTAGCATGAAGTATCAGGGACAATGTAGGAAGGGATCGCTACACCAGTGAAGGGTAATCAGACACCCAGAACCGGACAAGCTAAGCAAAGGACACCTGACTCACACATACTGCATGTAAACGTGCATTTGGGATCCTGCTTGACTTCTAGAGATAAAACAGAAGAATGATGTTCCACCCTTTCAGCCTGTATATTAATATTCTTTGCCAAGTTTTGTGAGTTTAATGGATTGCATCCAAGTCTTAGGCAGTGGAAAAGAAAGGAATCTAGTTAAAAATCATTCTTCCTGGTTATGGTCCACAAGGAGATTTTCAGTAGTCTGTGGCCAAAAAAAATTGGGGATTCCTTGATGAAAAGCTTAGTTCTCATCAAATGGATATTTCTTCTTAGAAGAGAGAAAGTATAGTACTTAACCTACCTCTAAATATTTCTTTTCTTGATGATATAGTTCCACAAGCTTGTTACACACATCACACCATTTCTGCTTGTCACCCCTAGAAAGCAGAAAGAAAATCCCACACAAACAAGCTAAGTTTTCCATAAAATTGTACATTTTTCAAATTCTGACAAATAATTTTTAGTAGGTTCAGCTGCCAAACAAACATTTAGTATGAATACTACAGATCAACCTGAAGCTTTTACTCACTGATGCTTTAATTGATGAGTAAAAAAAAAAAAAAAAAGAAATATTACTTTAAGGGATTGTACTTTTCTTTTTGATCAATTTTTTAATTTAGGAAAAAAAATTGAACGCCAGCCAGCTACAGTGACAGCTGAGAGGCTGATTTGTTTAGAACTGCACCTATATGAATGAGATGACATATACTGTGTGATCTTAGAGCAGAGAAAAAATAAGCCTGCTTATTAACACAGGCAATGAACTCTCAGAGCTAAATGCTTCAAGGCAGTGAGTTGAGATAGAGGACAAAAGATAACAAATCTACAAAGTACTAACCTCAAGTACAATTACTCCAAGAGTTCTTGTCCTATTGAAAGGGATGGCATCAACAAACCTTATACAGGTACAGAAAACCTTAGTAACAAGTGCAGACCCACCAATGTGACAAGGCTTTGAAACAATAAAGCCTACCCTGTGTATCAGCAATGGCATTCACTGAACCACAAAGACTGAATTATGGTATTCAACATCCTTTACCTTTCATAGAGTTCCAAGAGCTTTTGGTAAACATCTGCTAAGTCTCCTTTGACACCTGTTTGGCTGGATTTCTCATATAAGTTTGCTAACCCCTTTAAAACAAAAAAAAAAAGTAAGTAAGATCTGATGTCAACAGTCATGTGTTATGAGAACACTGCAAGTTCTCCCTACAAAAATTATTCTATTGCCTTCAATGGGGTCAAGTGTTAATGTAGTAATCTCAGAGCAGAATCTACATTGGTATTTCTGTACTGCCTGATGAATCTACTTATTTTAAATTAAAAGCTTTCCTCAGGTTCTTAACTAATACCAACAACTATTCAAAACTTCTATGTATCCCATAATCTCGTCTGCATAATAGACAATATACAAAGCACACTAAGTCATGTGACAAAAGATCTATACTCAAGTATCACACCGTCTTGTATATTAACAGAAAGCCACAATCTGATTGCAAAACTGAGAAAATTTCGGTATACCTTGAAATCAGGCACCAACAGTTACAGTTTAACAAAGTATTTATATTGAAAATAGCAAGAACCTTACTACCTTAGAAAAATAGTGACTGTCGTTATCACAGACAGACTTAATATGCAACCTTATGCTTCAAAACTGCACGTTGTAACTATATACTGTCACAGATTGTCATGCACACACCACCTGGAACATAGCTATTTTAAATATATAGTATTGTTTTTAAGTAACAGCAACAGAATTCAGTAACAATCCATTCGATGCTGGAAGATGGAAAAATAAGCTACCAGGTGAGACATTTTCTCTCCTATGCAAGAAGCACTGTCAAATGTTTCTCAAGCTCCAAGCATCGAAATTCCTAAGCATGGACAAATCTACTGCATGTTTGAATTCATGTCCTCCCTTGCATGTTTCACTATCTAGTCTACAGAAGAAATACAAAATTAAATAAACGAAAACTAAAGTTCATCCTGCTATACAAATGCAGTGACCCACGGCTTTACTCTGAACACGCAAATAATATACAAACCTCAGCTACTCTGAAGCTTCAGTCAAACTAAGGGCCTCAAGAAAACATGATGCAAGTCTCAACTCCACTTTGTTCATATATTTAACTCCACAGCAACACTTTTCAGGGAATGAAAAAGTGGATCTGAACATTCACGTACCTGCCATGCCAGTAACTGGTTTGGTTCAAGTTCAATAGCTTTCTTGTATGCTCCTTTGGCTTGATCAGGCTGCCCTAACTCAGCAGCTGCCAGGCCAATAAACACCCAAGCATTGTAGTTATTTTTTTCTTGCTTCAGGACAGCCTAGAAATACAGAATTTTAAGTGAAACTGATGAATGAAATGCATCTTTTAGACCCATGTATTGAGTTTCACCACTCCAGTTTGGTGAATTATTCTGTATGGTAATATTAGAAGTTAACTCGTTCTTAGGAAAAGGCTAAGATTAATAACTTCGGCTTTTTATGCCAGAGAATGCTTCATATCCAAACTGTTCTGATAGTAACGCTATCTGTAGCTTAGCAGTTAAAGCACTCCTGTCGAGGTCTGGATTAGAAGTGGATTTTTATCTCTATCAGCCCAGACCAGTTCTTATTGCCACACATAAGCAAATGCAAAAGGATGGGGAATAAATGTTTACCTGTGGGCAACTAACACGAATGATCAATGAAGTTAAATCTGAAAATCAGTCTCAACTATTACGTAAACAAGGTACTCCACACTCTGCATTACTATACAGCTGTAGGAGTGTGGGAACAGAAAACAAAATGTGCAAGAAAATATTACCTTCCAAGTGAAAAATCAATTACCTTGCAATGTTTTAAGGCTTCCTTATATTCTTTATTTCGTATTGCTTCTCTAGCACTCTTTAATGCTGCCTTCACCTCCTTATTTGACATCGTGGCTACTAAGTAAAAAGGACATATAATCAGTTCTTATAAAGGATACGCTAAACTCAAAACATTGTTTATATCCTGCTGTAATTGCATAGCAAATTTTAACATGGAAACACAGTACAATATGCCAATATGCATACAGCACTAAAAACTACTGAAACAAATAATAGTTAACATTAGTTACTTATGCTTAGTTCCACACACGATTAAGTCAATATTCCAAACAGTTAAATGACACATATAGCTCCTCCATAATGAAATTTTGGTTAAGGTTTAAGATAAATTGAAATAAGAGAAGAGGTTTTATATGACAGTCACCTTAGACTCCTAGAAAGACACCCTGCATATAGTTTCTTTCAAAAGAGGGATTACTAAGCAGTCAACGGAGTTTAAGAGACATATTGCACTGGACATGTGCTCAAGGGGTTCCTAAGGGTCAGAGTTTTTCTTGTGTACTATCTACAGCAGCATCACGGCCAGCCTGTCACTCATGTTCAGGTGTTATCCACGGTGCTCCTCTCCCTTCACATGCACCTATGGCAGACTCTGCTTCTCACTACAGCTGTACAGCGAAAAAGAATAGGCATTTAAGGACACACACAGAGGCGTTCAGGCTTTTGAAGTCTGACATAATCATACACGACTTTGATGCATATGGCAAATATTTCGCCTCAAATTAACTTTAGAAACACCATAGTCAAAACTGCTTAGGCTGAGAAACCACACTGCTGGTGCAGTCACTGAAAGAGACAGAAAAAGGGACAAACCAAAGACCAAAAAAACCTTTTAGCAGCTGAGAAGCAAAAGACAAAGAATAGCTGAACCGCCTAGAGGAAAATTATTAACAAAAGGACAAAGACAGTGGATTTCAAGGAGTCCCTTGGAGCCTAAACCAAAAGAAATCTGTCAAACTTACACTGCTCAACAGCTCCTGAAGACAAATTTTCTTCCTAAGAGGGAACAGACGCCTCCATCATCACAAACACCCCCACCCCCCCCCGCCACGCTGACACTTCCGAGCCCGAACTCCGTGTTCACCTACAGAGAAAAGAAAAACCACCTCAGCGCAAAACCGGGCACCTCGGAGGAGATCGGTTCGGCAGTCCTGTCCCGCAGCGAGGGGCGACCAGGCCGGGCCGAGCAGGGACGCGGCCGGGGCCC